TTTTTGGTCGCTACCCGGAATCGAACCCGGGACCTTTGAATGAGAGGCCAACACCTTAACCTCTAGGCCACGAGAGCCCCCTCTCATGCTTTGGAAGTCATTATATTTTGGCAGCCATTTTATCGTTCTTTTTACCTCTGACACCAGACGATCCCCCCACCTCCGTCAATTGCAAATGTCTTGACTTCTATTCAAGATAGATGGATATTCTTTCCACCAAAACCAATAGAAGTGAACAAGATGATATCATTAACCCCATGTCCACGAAAATTGTTGTGAGCTGATTCTACCATGTCTTGACACAATTATAAAATGTAGGCTACATAATTTTAGGTGCAAGTGACACGAGATTTGATTGCTGATGAAGTACAAGGAAGCTGCCCCATGTTCTCAACAAATGTTTTGCTTGGAAAGGATGAGGTGAGGTTTCATTATTATTATTTTACATGAACATAATGTATTTTCTTTTTTTTATTGCATGTAAATCTATTAACATGTTGCAAGAACCCATTTAGCAGGAGGTTGGAGGGCGCCACTGGTAGGTTCTTCTCCTTCACTTTCCCTCTGTTGTTTCTGTCTGTCTTACTTTTTCCCAGCACTAAATGACCATTTTGTTTATGTTAAATGATAAATGTATTGTTTATGAAGATAATCATAATGACAGACAATATATATATAATATGTGAAATGAGACTGCGGATAAAATGATTAAAAGCACAACAAATCCCTTTGGTCCACCGTTCAATTTTGCTTAATCAGAGGTTTCAATGAAAGCAAGATTTAACAAACATCATTTTAGATCAATAATCCGGTATTGTTAGGTTGCAATGCAGTGTTTACAGCAGTTATTGGCTTCATGTTGGGACACCCTTTTTCGATTTTCCTTTTAATCAACAGTGGTTTGGTTTGAATTGAGAGACACTTTCTTTTCTTCGGTGTGTGAATGTGTCAGTGTCAGACTAGAGAACAAAAACGACACATCTTAATGCTTGTGTTAATCCGTATTTCTCAATATAAATAGATCGTTAAACGCAAATTTGCATTATGTTGTTAGACTCTCCTATTTTTCTGAACACAACAGTTTTGCAGAACAAGCCAACGGCTAAGGTAAGAGCTGGGTATTTGACACTATGGGTCCATGTTTAACATGTTACTATTGTTACTGCCATGGCTGTAGACTTCTATGAATACGATTTATGAACCGACGTCTGTGGTGAAGTGGTTAGGTGCTTTGCCATCACATGCAGAAGACCTGAGTTCGATAATGATAGTGTAATGGGAATTTTCATCACATATCTTGGTCTTTCTGGTGGGACATTGTATCCTTCTCTCTCAGTCCTAGTTATTGGCCCTTACAGAGTTGAAGCCAGCCTCCTAAATCTTCTAAATTGTGTTGATGGGGCATAAAATATTTTATCTTCCCAGTAGTTCTACATAAAATTTTTTATGATGGTGGCATATTTGCACCTCTGTTATCAATGCCCAGCCTGTTAACCTCCACTCCACCCCGCCCCCCACTTCCCCACCCCTTCACTGAAGAAATGAAAATGGTTGGACTTTTGTCTGTACCCACACATTGTGGGTGTTCTCTTTGTGTCAGCTTCTTGACCCAATGACCAATGAACCCTGACCTCCTGAGCCCAAAATAACCTGTCCCCTGACTTCCTGGATGAAAAATATCTACATGGCTACACACCAAAGTATATATATTCAAATCAGTTCCCTTTTTTATCCCTGTATGGACTGCTTGTAGACTAGCAGCATACACTGATGTATCGGTGCTTCGGGGCAGGAGCAGATAACCCGCACACTGATATAAATCGGTGTCATGGATTCATTGGGTTAAGTTTTTATTTCCTCTTTCCCCCTTTCTTTCATTTGCCAGCCTCTCACCCATGTGATGGCCAAGACAATAGTGGCTGCCCTCAACCCATCGAAGGACGTGATTCTCTCTCTAGCCTTGAAAGACACGACACCAGACACGGTGCACGCCGTGACCGACTTGATCAAAACTTGTTTGAGATAGAAAGAATTTGTGTCAGCTGAGAAATGTGAATGAAAAAGAGAGGTTTTGAAAGGCTGAAACATGCTTGTGTGTGTGTGTAAGAGAGAGAGAGAGATGGGGGGGGGGGGGGAGAATGACTCTGAAAATGAGAGAAAAGAGAAAGAGCAGGAAGAGAGAGCATGAGAGAGGGGGAAGCGAGTGACTGTGTGTGTGTGTGTGTGAGAGAGAGAGAGAGAGAGAGAAAGAAAGAGAGAGAGAGAGAGAGATAGATGAGATTGTGATTGGGGAGGAGGCGGGAAGTGCTATGAAAGAGAGATGGTCAGTGTCAATGTTTGAAGTGTGTATTTGGAAGTATGGTGATATTATAAACACAATACACTGAGCAAAAGGTATAAGAAAGTGTATGTATACACAAATGGAAGTGAATTTTGTTATTGCAACTTTGAATGGCTACTGAATAAAGTTAGTCTAATTTCTTTGCAGTTGTTGTCTTGCTTTCTGACCATTTGTTCATTTTTGAAAATGACTTAGGAAGGAAGACTTAATAAGAAAGGGACACACCAGCATAAAAAGTCCAGTGTCCTAACAGAGTCTCTAATCCAAAAAGGGTTTGTAGCACATCTGCATTTTGTATTCCAATGCTTTTGTGAGGCTTGAGGTTTATATTTAAAATGATTATCTACAGGTATAATGTCATGATGTTAAGCTTGATGTATATTTTTCAAATGTTTATATCATACATGTACTGGTAAAGGCATCTGTGGTGTAGCGTCTAATGTTTAAGTGAGTTCAGTTCCTTAGTTCCTATAGGAGAAATATATTTTACCGTGTGTCTCATTGTACGCCTGGCCTCCTCCAAGATGTAAATATGAGTTTGAGGGGAGTTATAACATTGAGGTCAACTGCAGATTATGTTATATTTATTTGTGACAAAATTGTGCTGAAGCCACTTTTTTTGTCCGAAAAATGACAACTTGACGTAACATTTTTCATTTTTTAAAAGAATGTAGGTTGGCTTTCTGATACTTTATCATTTGCAGATCATTTGAGTACTTAAGACAAAAACACTCAAAACAAATTTTTTTTCGATATGTATACATGTCTTGTATTTTCTGTTACTGCATTATATGAATTATAAATACAATCATACAAGAGAACTCTACTGACAATAATTATGGACGGAGGTAACTAAAAATATTATCACAGCTGGAATTAGACCATGGGTCTACAAATATAGTGTCTAACAGTATACAGTAATACAATGTAAGGTATTTGATCACTGTTGACCATTTATGGTTTTACCACTGCCTCAACAGTACAATACACACGTAGAGGGATACACAAACCATTCCCATACAACACTAAGCATTACATTAACTCACTCACCGTCTGGCACTTTATGGCTCAACATTCAAAAAATGCCAGGTGTTTTGGCACCTATCTAAAAAAAATAAAATTATTGCTACCTTTCTATTTACCACTCAACAAAGAAACTTAGCTTGCAAAAAGGCAATAAAACATACTGCACAATGCAAATAAAATTGTTAAGATACCTATGGTTATTTTTTAATAATGTTTTGCAAATTATCAAAATAAATTTTTTTAAACGTTTAAAAAATCATGTTCAGTGTCACTAATCCAAACAGCCTTCCACTACCTCTACTAAACTCTGGACCTTGTGTTTCGGGTCGTCAGGTAAAAATAATTTGAGTTAATTTGAGATTTTATTTAGTTATCAAGGCATGCAACTCAAACACTACTCAATCAACTCATACTCATAAAGGACAGCAGTTACAAACCCATAAAGACCAGCCCTGAAACACATAAGGTAATAGTAGATAAAAAAAGTAAACTTGAAACCAAAGTGTTTCGGTAACAGCTGTACCCAGTCTATTGACTTTTCCCAAATTATTTTGGGTGTGGCAGCGAACAAGTTAATTCTCAGACTTCTTTAAATTCAAAAAGGTAATGTCGACTTTCATTGTGATCACTGGTAAAAAAACAGTTTAGCACTCTTAATGAAACAACAATACATTTTTATGGCATTAGAGTAGAAGTCAATATAGAGAATTTGCCATTACCACACAAGAATTGGTCTCTAGATTAACTTGAAGGACGTTTGAACAATTTAAATAATATTCATCATGAACTGTACAAATATTTTCAGTTCAGAGCTGCCCTCCTACTTCTTTAGCGCTTATCTACATAGTTTGCTGTTAGGACCTTGTGCTATCTACACTGTAAAAAGTGAAAGCTAATTGACAGAAAATATGCAGACAAAACAAAAGTTCTGGTAGTAACAGTAAGGCAGTGACAAAGTTCTGGGAAAACTATCTCATCCGGATAAGCGACGCTACATAGAGCCAGATGGACATGACATTGTTGGAGTATCCATGGACGTAGACTGCTAGGGCAAACTCCACCTCACTCGTCTCCTGAGCATGGACGCCCGTGGCAAAGACAGATTCTGTGATGCTGTCCATGTCTGTGTAGGGAATGTTCAGAGGGAAGCCCGACACCTAGAGGAGGACCAGACACAACAAGCATGTACAGACCATGTGGAAAAGGGGATGTTTCATCGTTTTATCAAGTGTTTTACGGCACTTGCAACACAATAAGGTCATATAAGTGCCGAAGATTAGAGGTGTTACAAGAGAGTAACAAACACAAAAAAGAAGGAGGGGAGATATATGGATGATGAATGTTTTGATTGGAAAGAAGGAGCAAACTGTAAACAACATCAAAGCTCCCACAAATGATGAGGTATGGGGGAGGTGTTATAATAGTTATAATATAATAAAATCATAAATAATGCTGATGATTTCCATAGCACCCACTCCCATACACAATGCAGCTTTGCGTGCTTTACCAAAACTTCATCTAAATACGAAGTACAAATGAATGAATATGATGCATACATTACACTGATTAGAATAACGTAAAAACAAAAGTGCGGTACTATGAATTTGAACAAGAAGGACTAACTATCAAGATGGCATTTCATAAAGGTATGTTTTTAAATGAATTTTACATTGTGATGCATACCACCATACAGATTGCATTTATTTACATGCAGTCTAAAACACCAAGCGAAATTAACCCTAAGCTTTAGGCATGGCATTAGTAGTTTTGGCTCAAGTCTGATCAGTGAAATTCCAAGTGGTCCTTGCCATTGGTTCAGGGTGGTACAACTTGCCCCTTTTTACTTTCTCCTCAGCTTACGGGCAAGGATGCACCATTTTCAAAGAGAGGCTAGATGCCTGAGAGAAAAAATACACTTAAACCAGTGCCAGTAGCGAAAAATTTGAAAAATTCTTTTAACACACTATTAGTATATCAGTTCTCCTGTCTCCCCCCCCCCTTTTTTTTTCTAAGCACACTAAACACTACACATAGAGAAATAGTAATTTATTTGAAGTCTACCTTGTAGGATTTGAAAGAGTCCTCCAGATCTTTCAGATGAGATTCATCAATCGGTTTTCCACAGTTCTCCTCCAGTCTGAGGGAAAAAAAAATTCTTTGTGGTACAAAAAAGGCATCATTAGTCCTGAAAATTGCACATTTTATTTTTCATGTTTCATGGCTTTGAAATGATACATTTTGCTCTTGTGCCAGGAGAGACAGACAATGGAATATGTCCTCAGTTCCTGTAAGGTAGGCTATCCCTTGCTGATGGCAGGTGCACATGGCGGCACAACAGAGTGCGTGAAAAAGCTGGTCCTCCCAATTCTTTGCAGTCTGGAGACCGACACCGACAGCAGACTAGCCCCAGTCCAGGTATTCTCCACAGCAGGGACGAATAAGAAATGGGTTGGAAGAAAGCAAGTGCCTTCCTTCTCAAGGACAGAGTAAAAACTCTTTAGGATCCGCAAAGGATTGGGAACTAGCTGCAGATCTCTCGGAGTGGCGAAAGTGCCATCCCATGATCAAGAGAACAGGTCTTAAACCAGATTTGTTCCCTGGTCAGAAACTGATGTCAAGATCTTCCAAATTGAGATGGCAGTTCCATACGAAAGTAAGATAAATGCACAACATCAGTTCAAGCTGGCAGAATATGAAGAACACTCAAATTAACTTCAAGGAGAGGGTTCCAGCTCCAAGATCATGCCAGTAGAAGTGGGTGCACAAGGGTTTGTTGCAGCCTCAACATTCACACTTCTGGGGCAACTAGGTCTTAAAGGCTGGGAAAAAAGGTAGCCAGCAAGCGCATTTCAATATGGCAGAGAAAAGTTCGAGCTGGCAGTGGACGATGAAACAGAATGAAAGTTGAGCCGCAGAAATGGAACAAGAAATAGATATAGAAATTCCACAAAAAGTCTAGTAGATTCATATAGCTTTGAATTTGCTATTTCCACTAGAAACTTCGTGGCATTGCGCAAACATTCATGGACTGAAGAACCAGAGATGCCCCAAAACCACTAGGGTTCCCCGACAAGCGCCAAAGTAAAAAGAAAAAAAAAAAGCAGGAGAGCACTTGGGAGTCATGACCTGAGTGTGGCCCGGCCCCCTTAGGGTGTAGGGTAGTTCAGGCCAAAACACTCTCTTGAATTAAGTTGAAGGGGGTTCTTCCTCTGAAGATCTTTTGCAGTCCGCTCGCCCAATGAGTTTTCTCTCAATTCACCATTATGAGAAATTTGGTGATAGAAGAGAGGAAAATTAATGAAATGACAAACTAACAAAAAATTCTGACATGTGCTTTTGTGCACATATTTGATTTCAGGAGAATCAGATCACCTACATAATCAAAGAACCTGTCTGGAAAAAAAACAACTAAAGCATAAAAGTGTGCAGTTCTAGCAAAACATGACCCATCACATGCCACAAAAGTGTCAGCATCAACAGTACAATTTTGAATTCAACATAAATCAGGCAAAAATTCATCAACAAATAACAAGAATAAACGATTTAGCATTGGATTTTTCTCTTTGAAATATGCATAACACTAAACCTTTTCAAGGCTTTCCAGTGACTTGACTTGGTATGTTAGAGATGGATATTGAATTCAGATATCCTGCCTCTTTAATAACCACAGACTTCCTGTAAAGGCATTAAACCCACCATATCAAGCCAACACTTTCATGCTGAGCATGCACTTGGTGTGGGGAAGGGCAAAGGTAGCATGCACTGAGCTTGAACCTGTAGGGTGAATCAAAATGACTAGTGTACATTATTATAATTTATTTAAGTCCCCTAAATATCATCACTAAGACTAAGACTCACATGGGCAGAAGTTTCCTCATGATCTGGGTGCAATGTCTGTTCCAGCGTGTGATGTAGCGACTCCTCCACTCCATGATCTTGTTCTTGAGCAGTTGTTCTATCCTCTCCTGTAGCTCCATCACAAGGCTGTTGAATTTTTTGTCCTTGCGTCGATAGTGAAGCTCACTGGGCTGTAGGCAGAACACAGACACAGCTATAATAACATTGAACATATGTATCACATACCGGTACTTTTCTCTTTATTCTGCTCAATAATATCAGTCAGGAACAGATATGTTAAATGTTGTTATTAGTACAAGTATTGCTAAAAAGAAGTATTGAGATGAAATTTAGATGTTTAGCAGCTAGAAGAAATCAGGTGCTCGTCAAAAGAATGAAATCAAAGAAATCGGCATTTCCCACTCATTGGACAATTTTTATCGGATTTTCCGTTTTACTCAATGCCTTTTGTGTCCATTTAAAAACACATTTCTGTGTGGATTTTACTGAAAAACCTCATTCAAATCACAAAAATTGTAAATTTGCAGTTTCTAAGGACACTCAGGCTTTGTCAGTTAATTCACCCAACTTTGGCAGCCATTTTCTCACTAATTTTACCTCTGACAAAAGTCAACCCCCATCTCCTTCGATAGCAAAATATCTCAAATTCTATTTATGAAAGATGGGTATTTTTTACATCAAAAGCAAGACAAATGAACAAGCTTTTACTATACTTCAGTAAATCCATATGCCCAATAATCCAAGAGCACCACATTGTGACACATTTATCGTTGTTTGTTTTAGTAGATGTTTTATGGCGCTCGCAAAACTGCAGAAGGTCATATGAGTGCCAAGGGGTGGATGTTAACAGAGAAGCCCTTGCAGGGAATCAGGCTTACTCTGCTCACCCCTCTAACTTCAACAGCACAAAGTCTGCTTTGACTATCAAGACACTCCGGAAATAGTGGGTCACAAGAGTGTGACAAACATATATTATAAAGAAGTAGAGGAAAAATGACGATAGTAAAGATTAGGAAAGAAAAAGCAGCAGTTCCCTGTTGAAGTTCAGGCACAGTTATGAGCATGACATTGATGAATCAGCCCATTCACACTTACAATTCTACTGTGCATAAGAACATGGTTAATGTCAAAGTATCAGTAGGCCCTACCATGAGGAAAAATGAATATATCAAAATTTTCAAGACAAGATTTACAATATCCTAATGAAGAATCTTTCACTTTATTTTAGATACCTGAATGGAGGCTAATCCTCTGCTGGGAAAAGATTTGTTGTAGAAAGTTTGCCATTTGCTTGCATTGCTCAGGTTGAAATCCATTTGGGCTGGTTTTTCATACTGCTGGATGTTGGCGTAGATCTGCAACAATTGAAAAGAGAAATATGAAACCATCAGTTCTTTTAACTTTGACATAAACAACGAAAAGCAGTTGGTAGAACTTACATCACATAGTAATCTTTGTTTTACCATCCTTCCCATATTAAACATTAAGTTTTACTGTCCATATCACAGTACAATATTATTAACTTAATCCTCAATGTCTTTCCCAAACACATTAAAAGCCCGCAGTCCTTTCTGTATAACAACATACAAATCTTTAACCTAACCATCTTTCCCACATTATAGATCATCTTAAGCTTCACTGTCCTTTTCATTTTACATGATAAAGTTAACCTAACCATACAGCTGTTACATTTGAGAAAGCAATATTTGTCCTTGCAGTCACAAAAGTTACAAAACCGTATTAACCAAACAAGTGTTTCTTGAGATTTGAATTGAGGAGGAATTAGAAATTTCTGTCTTCCTCTTTCCGACATCTTTTTTTTTTACAGCCTCAAGTAACCGCATTGCATCCGGCAGGGAATTTAAAAAACTATAACAACCTACTTGAGGTCTTAGCCAGATAGACTCACATTCTCCTGGTTGATGACAGAGCCAATGCTCTGAACTGGGCAGTAGTTGTCGAAGACACTAAACCGCTCCCCAGACCTCGGATTCCACAGAGAGTACTGACCACCATCATCTGTCAGCACATAGGCTGTCTGACCCTCAGGAATTGCATTACCTGGAATAACATTTAAACTGTGTAATAACTATGTCTGAAATGAAATTAACGCTCAGCAATCACATTACTAAGACTAACAAGTAAATTAGAATTCAGCAGTCACGCACTCAGCAATCATGTTGCATGGCATAAATTTAGCACCTAGCAATCGTTCTCTGGGAAAGAAACTAATACCCCACAATCATGTGGCCTTAACTTAAGTTAACCCTGAAGCTGATAAGGGCAAACAAGTTTGGCCCTAAATTTCTTGTTGCGGGGGTGGTTATGGCCAATCTATTCCCCAAATTTAAATGCATTTTGAAATACAACATAAAACCAGTCCACCCCTTTGACATGATTGATATAACCAGGAAGAGGTCACACTTATCATCATTTTTACTTCCATCAAAGGTAAATTGCATTATGACTCATCGATGAATTGATCTGAAATTTTAGGCCAAAACCAATGTGCACTGGGCTTTTAAAACAACAAAAGAATATTTTCTGAACATTTCAAAAAGATAGGTGAGGATTTAGCTATTTCTGGTCTGAATGTTGAAGTAAGACTCTGATGATGAGGATTTAATAGACTTTATTACTTTATAGAGTCTCAGGAGCAGTAAACAGAACTAGATCAAGCTCATGAAAATTAGAAGTCACAAGCCTTCCATCATAGAGCTAGTGGGGTTATTGTTCGAATTTCTGGACCCATACTTTTGCTGTGGGAAAACTGTTATATCCGTTTATTCAAGAAGATCTATACATGTACTCTCAAATAGTTTTTTTTTTAATTTCTTCAAAAAATTTCTTGGAAATAGATTCTACATGTATAATAAAATATTCAAATAATTTCAGGATAAAAACACAATCAATAACCATGTTGTGATCTATTCTTTTGGTCATATATTTCCAACTTACCTAGGACAAGGTAAGCATTTTTGCCCATCCCCAGGAAGAAGTTTGTCAACAGTACAGCATGCTCTTCCTCGTCTCCGCACAGCATTTTCATGAATTGCTGAAAATATCAATACAAGCATCTAAGAAAATCAGTGCACAAAATAAACGACAAAGCTTTGTGGAAAGACTTTTGATCCCTCATGCAGTCTTGATAGGGTAAGTATAACATTTGCCCCCCCTCTATTCAGTTCATTAAAACAGTCTATGTAATGATTCCCAATGTCTTCTTCCTCATCCTCAAGTAACTTCATAATCTGTGAAGGATCAGAGGCATCAAACACTTCAACACCAATCAGAACAGATATTGTTTATATTGCTGCTCATTTATATTATGCATGTGATTGTAAGCCTACGTGTTACCTTATCTGATACGAAGTGAAGAAGGTGTACACTATTGCATATTATTATTCCCCTTCCTATCTCTCTTGCCGTGAGAGAGAGAAAGGAGATGAAGAAAGAGAGAGAGAGAGAAAGAGAGGGGGGGGGGCAACCAAACCATTGTGTCCTAGCAACTCTATTAAACATCAAGTACCGGTACCCCGAAGTGAACAGAATTACCAGAGAGCTGCTCACATAAAAGAAGAAAGTAAGAAGACACTCACATTGCAAGTACTCCAAATATCACATTGGCCTGGAAAAAGATTTGTGTCTGCCACAAAAGGAATCATAGCCACATAGCGAGCAGCAAGCTCCTGTGGAAGGAAGGGTGGGGGTGGGAGGTTAGAACAAATCGCGCTAGACACGACAAAAGCAACATTCGAATCTTGTTTCCTTTTGGGTATACAAGAGACTGAAGAAAACTGTCTGACAGATCTCCTTATATCTATTTTGGGGTTTATGCCATCTTATATAAAACTTTATTTGCATGCTGACAAAACTTAAACATTATAACACAAACCAAATTCAGTGTCATTTTATCTCAGCTAGATAACCAAATGTTTAGGGAGAAATCACAGTGTGAATTATAAGGCTGGAGTGAGGGGGGGTAAGTGTCCTGCTAAAAAAAAGGCTTGATATTAAAAGTCAAACATTGGTGATACACAAAATGCAATTCAAAATTAATGATATTGAGTCCTCACGCAAAGTGAACATACTACTGAAAAGATTAAATTTCAAGAACCTAAGCACCTTTAACAAGACGAGTGTCTATTATTACGCACACACACACAGAGATATAAGCAATATTTTGGGAATTACACCCTTTATCAGGAGACATACCCCTTGAACGACAAACACTCTATGGCACTCAGTATATCGCATTATAAAAGGTGCACAAGACATGACGTTATCTCCGACGAGGGGGCAGGGGTGGGGGATGGGGGGAATAAAAGCCTCTAGGATATTCAATGGTAACTGACATGACATTTGGACTATACTTTCTTACAATGATATCACTGTAATTCATTATAATATAATTTATTTCAACTTTAAATGATCAGAATATTTGAAAGACATATTAAGAGAATCATATTAAAAGCAGTCATTTGAAAAAAAATGTACTTTATGCAAATTTTGTGACGTGCTTAGTTCTAGTAATTGATGTGACTAATGATGTATTTTTTTTCTGTCCTGCCAGTCGAATAGTCCTTCTGATCTATAAGCACCATTGTCTCGACAAGGTTAACTGGGCTATGAAGACTTGCCAACTGTTTTAAAACCCAGCAAGTGGCAACCAACCTTAAAAAATAAGATTACGCAATCACAAAAAAAATTATATTGAGTGGGACTGGTTTTAGTGTTGTGTATATGATAAGGCTACAATGTTCTCTCAAACTGCCGAATGTTGTATCTGGGACAGTCTATGGGAAATTCAAGACAGTTGGCAAGCCTGGTTTGGGTACAGAGTCAGGGTGGTTGATTGGCGGGTGCTCTGGTGTGGTTTTCTGCTTCTTTCCCGTCAAATATCTATCGTCCTTATCTCCCCTGATTCTTTTTTGTGTTCGTTATTCTCTTAACTTCAGCACTAATTTATGACCTTATTGTGTTGCAGGTGCTGTAAAACTCTTACTAAAACTAAACTAAACAGAATCAGGACAACATTCACGCAACCTACCATGGCTTTGGCAGGCTCGGTGACAGCTTCCACTTCTGGCGGGGGCTTGATGGCCTTGAAATACCTGGAGATGAACACATTCTTTCCTGAGGTGTCCATCACAGTGGTGCGGTAAGAGCGCTCTGGGAATCTCCTCTCCAGTGCCAACTGCCAAGCTTCTGCATGCATAATCAGGTCTTCTTCTTCGTTTGTGGCAAGCTGATGACATGGATGCAATAAATGTACGGACTTTAGTTAAAGGTGAAACCCTCGGGATATATTCATAGGAGTCCGCTTATTCCAAAATCTGTGGGACCACTATATTTTCTTCGGTTTAGCCAGGTTTTTGGTTTAGAGAGTCTGCTCAAATAGAAGAAATAAAATTGGGGATGTCATTTTCTTTAGGTTTATCCTTGTTTTCGGATTTGAACGTGTTTTGTTAAAAGCGAACTCTGTTGTATAGTGTTGGAATGGTCCAAGACGGTCACCAAACGTCAAAAAGAAACGTAGTTGTCTAAGACATGTGGACATGTTGGAGAGTGTCATTATATTATAGAGATAGAAAGCAAAGGGGGAAGTGTGAATTGGTCGTTAGTACAGGTGATAGTTTTGGACAGGTGATAGTTAAAAGCTAGAGCAGGTTCAACTACAGGACAGAAGTACTGCATGGGCCACACAATCAGGTATCCACACTAAACAAGCTACAAGTTTGACAGTTGCCAGAAAGGTCGTTAATTGTTCTATGAAGGCCATCAAAATAGCTAAAGGAAGACAGTCGTACAGCATTTATTTTGGGTGTTTTCAGTATAAAACTTTTAAAAATAAAAGCTGTTGGATATATCAAACATTTCATTTCTTTCTCCAAGAACAAAGGGGTTACGTAGAGCAAAGGAAAGTATTCTCCTTCACACTTCTTTCCTGTGTTAAACAAGACGCAAACGCATCTAGACTTATTTTAACGAGGAAAAAAAACCCCAATAACCATAATAGTTATAATTAACATAAAAATTACGGTAAAAACAATAATAATGACAGTTACTATAAAATAAAAACAATAATACTGAAAACAATGATAACATAATAATATAATCATCATCATAATAAATATTTCTAAAGCCTCGTCCTTTGAAAGTTCAAGCTGGAGGCATTCCAGGAATGTAGTAAACAGTACACAACAAATGACAGATAAAAACTTTAACTAACATAAGACAGTATGAACGAGCCAGCTGTGAGGAAAGTTCCATAAAGAGACAACAAACATTATCCAGACTGCTCTTGTGTTTGAACCTGACCCTTACACACACCGGATCAAACGTGTAAATTGTAAACCTACTTCGCAACAGCTGTCAGGAAGGCCAGAGAACACAGACAGAGACAGAAAACAAAACTCAATACCCCAACTGCACTTATATAACTGCATGAGAAAATGCTTCACCCGCTCGCTATTACTTTTGCAGCCCCCGCGGTTTCCAATTTTAAGAAATTTGTTGTGTATTCTACTTGCGAACAGTCCAAGAGCACCAACAACATTAAACATTAATAAATGAAACAACTTCTCGGGTTGTGTTCCACAGTTTAATATAAGACTTAAACTTTACATGATTGTGACTTGTGCTGCCATAGGCTAGACATCTTTGTTGTTTTTCTATATAATGTGTGTTGCTCTTTTCTTGCTCTCTACGATACCGATATACTAACCATTACAGTACTCGTTCTGGAATACTGAAAGTGGGTACTTATAATGTTACATCATGATTACTTTACTTTACAACAAAATTCTGCCTCACAAAAGTATCGTCATAGTTGTCATAGTGTCATCAGGACATAGTTTCTGAATTTTTACCCCAATTTTCAAGACTCTATATAAAAAAAAACAAGCAACAACTCAAGGCTAATTGCTTTCTTATATATTTTTCACTATGTTCTGAATCAGCCCTCAAAATATCATGGATCTATGATTAACCATGAAAGCACAGTGATTTTTGCTTTTCCAAATGACTGATACAAAAGGAAAGCAGTGCTTAAAGTGGCCAGTATTGAGAAAATAAAGAAAGAAAAATGACCTCTGAGAAGCATCACTAACCAGCCCCATAAATACAAAAATATCAACACAAAAGCATAAAAATGTACATGAACAAACATGCAATGACACACATGTAAGGAAACTCACACACACACACACACACACACACACACACACACTCAAGCAATGCACACAAACCAGACACACACACACACACACATAAACGCACACACACAAACACACACGCACACACTATACCATTTAACTAAAAGGATCTATAGGTTTGAAAGCACCACCAAAAAAAAGAAAAAAAACCCTTTTGTTTAAAGAACATATATTTTCTGATATTATGGTGAAAATATAGCTGTCCTCAAATAATGATGCTTCAGCAGTGAGCAAAACAAGCTGCCTTTCAAATCTACTGATGACATGCAAGTGAGTGAAGACAGTGAGAGATATGACGCTGCCAAAGAAGAGCCGATCTCAAACAACCAGTGACAGATTAAAAAGAATCACTTTCCCATACTCTCACATTCTCAGACAAAAGAGAATGGGCACAGAATTTTAAAAATTCCAAAGAAAAGTGTGACATGCTGAAGTGATCCTTAAAGCAAAAAGTGTCTGAGGCAACCCCTTCACAAATCATACCTTGAACTTCATCATAGGGAAATGGTGGATATGGAAATGCAACAGTCATTATTGGTCATTGATACAAACTACTTAATTATTACATAGATATAAAGGAGGGGGGAGGGTCGTTATCCTCTGGCAAATTAACAAATAACACTGGAATATTTCAACCTTAATTATTACTAATTCCTTTACTTTATCGAATTTATGAGGTAGCCAAAATTTCAACCTTAAAAAGTAACTCTATGAGACAACTTAATCCATCTTCGAAACAGACAACATTTGAAACTATGAGAAATTTTCTGAAAAATCTTCGAAACAGACAACATTTGAAACTACGAGAATTTTTCGGACAAAGTTTCAAAGTACACAAAATTAAGCGCTTATACCGAACAATATATCTATAAGACTTATAAAATTAAGTAAGGCTATCTTATTCAACTTATTACTAACACGGCATATAGGCCTACATGTAGAAACAATAGGAATAACTGCATGTCCCCGTGTCTATGTCATTGAGGTGTGTGGGGTTTGCTGCTTTATCAAAGTCTAAAAGGGAACTAGTACGACCGACTACATTCTACAGTTTTAATACCTTCTCCTTGAAAGGCTCAGGCAGGATAAGCGAGGGTTCGATAGTGATGAACATGGAGATGAATGTGCTGCCATGACCCCGTGTGATGTTCGCCTCCACCTCAGAGATGTTTGTTTGACCTTGAGACGTGTCGTGCGTGTAGCCCAACAAGACAGGCGGCGTGTTCAACCGGAATGTGCCATCAATCTGAAAAGGCATACAAAAATTTGAGTAAAAAGGTATGAATGACTTCTTCATGATTATAGGGATATCAAGCTATTTCTTAAACGAAATTTAAGATGAACATGGGGCCCTTTTTTGGTGCCAAATCTAAAAATGACAAAAACGTAAACCGGTTTTTGGCAACTAGTTTGATGTCGAAGTCGCCGTAAAGGAAAGTGCCCGAGCTGCTGTCAGGGGATCACCGGCACAGTGGTTTGGACTGCGAGCCGCTGGGAGCAGCTTGCCGGAGATAAAGAGTTAATGAATATTCTCCCTACAAGAGGAAACAAACTCATATTCTCCTGCACGTTACAACAAAGAGTCTAAACACTATACCACAGATGCCAGTTACTGCTGTAATTAAATACACTTTCCCCAAACAAAGTTTTATTGTTTATCTATAGCCATGTATCCTTCAAAAAAGGCTTACAACACTTAACAATAACACCCTTGGCTGGTCTGTTCATTTCAAACAACCGTTTCAGTCAGTCCCCCCACCATCAATAATAATATTCTATTTTTTGTGTCTCTCTGACTCTGAGAACATAAATCACAATAACATGTAGGTTACACACTTTTGCGCTATTTAATAGCCTACCAACAAAAACAACAAAATATGGCACCACAAAAAATATATTTTTTTTTAACCAACAACACTCTTGTACACTCACCTTACTGTTAAAGTAAACAGTAGAGAATGGAATATTGATGCTACCCAACCATTTCTTGTCGATTCTTTGATGAACATTTGAGTCTCTCTCTCTGTTGTCCTGAGGAAAACAAGATTATAAAATTGTTTAAATGGTAAAGCACGTGGGATGCTCAATGTTAAAAACAATCAGGAAACGACAAATGCAATTTTTGGGACACCTGAATAATAATAATAATAATAATAGATAGCATTTGTATAGCGCATATCCCCGCTCAACAGCAGGCTCTATGCGCTTTACACTATATTATTACCCCAGCAGACCATAGAACACTCCGAAACATTCTCAGCTTCCCGGGAAGCATACAGTGCGAGCAGCCGATTAAGCGCTCAAACACTAACAAACTGACAAGATCTTTCGCTGTCTATAGCCGGGTACCCATTCCCACCTGGGTGAAGTGAGGAAAATTCGTGTAAAGTGCCTTTCCCAAGGACACAACGTCGGGCCCCTGACGGGATTCGAACCCACGACCTTACGGTTGCGAGTCCGAGAGCCTAAAATGAGGGTCTTGAACATCTAGCTCTCACTGGCAAAATTGAAGGCAAACAAGGCAGGGGTAGACCCAGAACAATCTACTTGGGAAACCTAAACAAATGGGCAACAGGGAAAAATCAGGGAAACATAGCTTTTTTGAGAGCATCCGAGTAAAGGAATGAATGGAGAACCATGATCGCCGATGTCTGTCGCAGATCTGGCACTGGATAATGATGAAAGCACATTACGTGCAGCTTGCTGATAGACATTTCAGCATGAAGAAAACTTTACTTTTTATTTCATTAAAAAACTTTAAAGACCAAAAACCTTCCATTAACATAACCAACCCACACCATAATGTACCACCCATATTAAAAAATAGGAAGAGGTAACTATACAGTATATACCATAGCTGACAAACACTGATGGACTCAGCGAAAACTATTACTGCTTATGTGCTTGACTTTAGAACAAATTACTATTCATTTTGTAGTTTTTATTGAGTCTATCAATGCTTACATGTTGCAGAAAGATTGGCCTTCTCCTACCAGCATCATCTGCACTACCATTATGTTCCCTTGTTATACCTCTGTACTTTTGACAGCCCGACAGTCCCTGGAACTTAATGTCAGTAATCATGTTGATGTGTTTCTCTTTCACTAATAAACCACTTTAAGGAAAAGGGAATTATAATATCCAGTGCCTACTGCAAAAATTGCCATTAAATCCTCGTTTAATATGGTTTGATCCACTTAAGAGCAGCCAGATTTTCCTTCATGGAGGGGCAAACGCTAGTATTTTGGAACAATTCAATCCAGTCTTCCAAAACCAAACACATTTGACTTTTTAGGTTACGACAGGGTGCATTTGATGAAAACTGGCCAACAACCAGATGGTCAGTAAGAGTCACATGAAAATGCACATTCAGATCTTCCATTTGTGCAATGAATGGGTCCTGATTGATAACCTGGTCAAATTAAATGAAGCAAAACAGACGTCTATTTGATAGAGTGGGCACTGACAAGCACAATTGTCTATCCCAACCCGATCAGTTCACGAAGATGCAGCTCTGTTTGCCCATTGCACACATCCATTCTTACCTCCAAAACATCCACGGTGACCTCGTCAAACACGTTGAGGTAAATGACATCATCAATAGCTTGCAGAGCCGACGGGGAGTAGTCATCGTTAGGCACCCTGATGGGAGACAAAACCATATGTAACAGCTGCGACAAACAATAAAGGGAAGACACACACTGTAAGAACAGTCACCACGAACAAATAAGGGGGGAGAACCAATAGAACTAAAAACCTATCAGTCACGGTCTGGGCAAATGAGAGACTGCTGATGTCGGTGCATAAGAAAATCCAGAAATGGAGGCAAACAAGATAAGGCAGCTTCTCTGGTGTTAGGTAGGTAAGAGTTGCTGTACTTGTGTTGGAAATAATCTGTATCAGCTTTAGTTTTTCAATAGAGCTTATTTTCCTTTTGTGTAGAAAAAGAGGAAATTCTTTACAGCAAGGGGTTCTTTATGGGGTGTTTTTGAGTAAAAGTACACGTAAGCATGTTTTTTTCCCCCTGAAAAATTAAAAATTATTCAGCACTCAGTTGTTTTGAGATATTGGGAAAAAACCTTGAGCTTCTCAAGAATGTGTAAATAGCTCCTTAACTTCAAGTGACAAATATTTTGGAACAACAGCTGCTTGAGAAAAATTATCTTCACCCTTTTGTAGGGCTAAAGCAAATCTTTCAGTTGATACCCACATTGTATTATTGTCATGCAACATGTGACTCATTTTATTGTGTTGCTACACATATATATATATCTCCTAGTCTTACTTGAGAGTCAACTCCAACTCCTCGTTAAAGCTCGGGTTGACACCTTCTGCTCGCCTTGTACGAGTTCGAGACCGCTGGAACATGACTTCCACATAAGGACAGACCGACTCCTGTTAAGGATAAAACACATGGAGATATTGTGGAAAAACATGGAGATATTGTGGAAAAACTTGGGGATTTGTCCTGGTCAAAGCACGATTTCCTCGTCAAATCTTTAGTTTCTAGTTACTGGTAATGTAGAAAAGCCTGTTATTTGTTTCATATTCTCAATATACAGGGATTTTGTTTAAATAATTGAGCATCTTTCAGTTTGCAAAAGTCTTGAGAACCACTTAAGTAAACACTGTTTTTCTATGTCTTCTCTAATTGACAAAAATGGCAAAGGAAATTAAGCTCAAACACAGCTTCTCTGAAAACAGCAATAAACCGAAAGAAAATAATATCCCCAATTTTTTTCTTTCTGAAAACCCTGCTAAACAGAAAAAAATCCAGTGGTCCAGCAAATTTCAGTTTCAGCAGACTCTACCGTATAACAGTTGAGACCAAAAAAATGAGAACAATACCAGATGAGTGCTTCATGCTCTTTTACACCTACATGACCACCTCAAACAAAAAAACCAAAGTCAAACCATCAAATGTCCCCCACATTAACAAAATCAAAGATTGATGGCCTTTCCAACAATGACAGTATAAGAACATGACAAGATGGGAAAAAAATGTAATTTGTCAACACTTCACACTTTCCACATGTTCACTTACACTGTATGAATCTCCTGCCCCTTTGTCAGCATCTCTTCCTCCACTGAAAAAAAAAAGCAAATGAAAAAATCCAGTTAAGATTATAAATACATTATAGTTGCATACTTTATTCAGTGAGAACAAAATACATGACATTTGTCCTCTCTTTTTCAACCAAACATTGAGGACAAATTTACTACAATGAAGTTATCACAAAGCACACCTTCACAAACCAAGATTTTTGTGTGTGTGTTTAAAGAGCAAATTCTAGCGCATAAGTGCAGCATAGAACAAAGCAATATCGTTTTGCTTTCATTGATTAAAAAGGGGGCTCCGAAGCTCAACAAGTGTGGTGTTCACCTGTCAATTCAGAGGGCCTCAGTTGGACCCCACCAGCAATGGGTTTTTTTTTTCATGTTTTTCTGTACTCCCTGATCCTAGGGTAAGTAGGATAGTCAACCTAGCTTCTCAGATACGGACCCCAAAAAAGGAGGTCCTGTGAGGAAATTTCCTTTGTTAAAGATACCTCGGCACTTCTAAAATCGTAAAGAGTAGGTCCTTCAGGCCGCCATCTAATCATCTTGGCAAAATTCCTTCCCAAAACTGAAGCCACTTGAGTCAATACTAATATTAAGAGTACCTTTGAAAATAGCATGTGTCAGGCAAGGGATGATTCTATGTTCTATGTAGATAAGATGGCAAAGTACATAAAAATTAAATGCACTGTGAGATGCAGATCTTACAATCAGATACCCCCTGCACTTTAGCATGGGTACGTAGAAGAAGAGGATTTGTTTTTCTCAATTTGAAACCCCCTATCCTTGATGTCATCAAGGGTTAAGTCATCCCAAAGGTTTATGCAGCTAGAACAGAGATCAGATATTGAGATCTGCACAAAATCAAAGCAAATCCTACACAAAAAGCCACTGTCCAGCTCTTTGACTGTTTACATTTGAAGTCATAAATCTTCAAAAATTATGTGTGTGCGCATAAAAGAGGGAGGGAGAAGGAAGAAGGGAACGTGAGAGAGATAGAGTGAGAGAGAGACTAATTCTTTACCCAGGAATTGACTTGCGAACAGGAATGTAGGTGGCCCTCATGATATTGATAAGGATCTTGACATCCTTGCCATCCAGGGCTTGGGCAGTGACTTTCTTTCTCTCTTTCCGGATAGGCCGTAAGGGACGTCTTGGTTCTGACAGACGTAACAAACTGTTTGCCAACATTCTGCAATGGTCAAGTCAATAACAAAATGTTAATAGTGCTACAATACATTCCCTATATTTCTTCATTTGCACTCTTTAAAAAGCAACAGGGCAGACATCAGTGATCTCATCTTAATTTTTTTTTAATACAACAAGTCATGATATGTGGCAGGTTCTAAAAAATGTTAAGACAGTTTTTCTTCTTATCACTGAGATAACCATATGTTTCAAATGAAAGTTTGATGAAAAACGTTTTGTACAGATGTGTTTAGCAACTAAGCCAAATTGCAGCATGTCTGGCCAAACAAAGCCTTCATTTATTGCTACAGAGCTGAGCTCTATTCACAATTCTCAGACTGTCAAAATTGCCCAAGACGGCCACCTATTGAAGAGAAAAATGTCTGTCTTAGACAGGTGGACATCTTAAACAGTGTCACTATAATGTGAAAAAAAAAGGCAAGGGGGAAATGGGAAGTGGTCGTTTGTACAGATGATTGTCTTAAAATACAAGTGGACGTTAGAGCAGGTTCGAGTGTACTTAATCGATCTTTCCACATTTCTAGACTGTGTAATAAAATACAGGAATGGTATGAGAGGGTAGGTGTCAAGGGAAATCGCCAAATAAGCATTTGACTTGTATCCCTGATCCCTGCATAATGTACTTCTTCTAAAGGTTGTCTTGACTGCTATATAAAATATTATAAGACAATGTTGGATGCCTCGATAAGCATTCTTGTTCTCATGCAAAATGCACCCCAATCCTAAATAAAGCTATTAACCATTAACCATTAACAGTCTCGTATGACCCTTCTCATAAAGAGAATCCAACACCCATGGGTGGTTGCTCTGGGCCAAACCCAGTCATGTACAACTTTTGTGGCAAAGGGTGCACACTGTCATACCTACTTCTAGACTCAGATAGTTGAGTACCATCCCAACTAGCAAGTAAGCTGTATGCTTCACGAGAAGTTGAGATTGTTGCAGAATGTTGTTAGATCTGTTGAGGTAATAATGTAGATTGTAAAGTGCACAGAGCTTGCTGTTCAGAGGGAAGTCGTGCTATACAAATCAACTGCTCAGAGTAAGACTTCATTATACATGGCTTTTCAAATTGGTTTGTGGTGGTGTTTTACACTAAGTAGTTGAAATGCAATTTATCATCATTACAAGCTTCTCGAATAACTCACGTGATGTTAGGAACAGTGTCCTCATTCACCATGTCCTGTAATGATTTCTGGTGTGAAGCAAACCGGTACTGCGCCATCACCCGGTCTTTAATCTGCAACAGATGCAAAGAAAAAAAATACATGACATACTGTGATAAGCAATGATATAAAGACTGGAAATGTTCACTATCTCTTTCATTTTCTCTGCCTATCTTTTTCACACTCTCTCAAAGATGAAAAGGAATTTGGTTCGAAAAAATGTTCAGGGTTTATCAAACTAGTGTAAATACATACAAAAGGGTTCACTTCTCTATCTGAACAGCCAAAAGCATGCGTTTTAAATTTGGCATTAGCAACATCTATAACATAAGTGAGCATTTGATACTATTATTAGAGAGTGCAATATCTTGTATGTAAATAGTAGGAGAAGTGCCATTCCTTTTGGAATGCATACATCTATTGCTACTTTGAAATAATAAAGGGTATTTATTCTTGTGGTGAATTTGGGGAGGGTCTAAAGGTTAGAGAAAATAAGGATGGTGCACAATGACGGCAGGGAGAGGTGAATTTTACTTTTTTAAATTGGTGCAAAAAGTAACTTATGTTCCTCTTAAACCATAATGTAAGAGTGTCTTACCTTTTGCAGATACTGGTTGACTTGTGCGCGGTGTTGGTCCAGATCACCCTTGCTGGGCGGCAACTGAGTGTCCTCTCTGCGTTTTTTGTCATACTCCTATAAAACACAACAAAAATGTTCTTGAATAAAAGGTGCGACTTTACAAGGCTGTAGTAAAAAAAAATATTTGCTGGTTTTGGCTTTCATGCGTTCATCCACCTCTGTTAGAGCAAAATATTGTGGTAAAATTTTTTTGGCCTGCAACAAAGTCATTCACATTTATCAACAACAGCCATTAAACAACTTTTGGGGACCACAAAATGTGCCCTGTGCATCTGTACTAAGAATGAAGCACAATAATTAACATATTTATTTTTAAAAAGCGATAAAATCACAGTTGTCATCTCAGCACCATGCAAATGAACAAATGAATGAAAATCAGACTATGACATTCATATCATGTACAAGAAAATCACTGGCTCAAGTTACAAAAAAGCAAACGATGATGAAGAAAAGTAGAGTCTGGTGTATCTGAAATAAACCCCAACGGACAACAACTCATAAATTACATTTGACAACAATACAATAAATGCATACAGAAGAAAAGCATTTACAGTTGTTCTTTACAAGTAATGTTCCTGTAAAGCCTAATCCAAACAAACTTTTGAAAAGAGAAACCTTCTCCTGAGAGATACAGAATTAAACTGATAGTTTCGGTCTCACGATTACTGTAAAGAAGATGTTAGTGAAATTATCAGCTGCATGTATACAAAATACCATTTTGAAGGGAGTGACCCAACAGCAGGATGACAGACTGAGAGGAAACATTCTAGAAGAATACAGAAAATCTTCACCTTTCTTTGACTAACACTTTAAACTGTCAAAGAAAACAAACCAAACTGCACCACAGAAGCTGTGAAAAGCGTCTGTTTTGATTCAATAAGTGTCACGACGTAGTGGAATCAGGCGCTCGTCAATTTTCGGTCATGTGGAGTTATTGGTAATATCTCAAAGGTTATTCATTTGCCCCCTTCTTTCGAGGAAATAAACGTCCATTTATCAGGAATGAAAGTCGTGATTTTTGCGATTGAAGGAGGTGGGGTTGCCTAGTTTCAGAATAAAAATTAGAGAGAAAATGGCCGCCAAAGTTTGGTGACTTCCATCGCTTAAGAGTCTTTGCAAACTGCATATTAAAATCTTTTGTGCCCCTAATCAACGTTTTTCAATAACATCCACAAATAAAGGTGTTTTTGAACGGGCATACAAGATGTTGAGTCAAAAAACAAAAATTCTAAAAAAATGTCCAAACTGACCGATAAATGCCGATTTCTCGGATTTTAATATTTTGACGAGCACCTGATTTCACCAAGATGCCTCACATATGAAAAATAAAAGTAACTACACAAGATGATAAGAAGTAATTGTATGAGATGAGACAAAAGGTAATCAGACGAAAAAGACAAAAAGTAAGTGAATGACATTAGACAAGAATCAACCAACCAAGAGAGCACAAAGTGTAATTATATGAAAGAAGACAAGCAGTAATAATACAAAATAAGATCAGAAGTAACTGAATATATGACATAAAACAAGAAGAATGTACACGAAATATGAGACTCACCTTGAAAATATCGCGAGGCAGCTCTTTCTCGAGCGGCGGGATCATCTGGTATCCCTTGAATATGGGATGCTCCTCGTCGCGCAGGGCGATCATGCGGAACCGCTGGTTGTTCTCTATCTCCTCCAGTGTGGCCAAGTCAAACTCTTGTTGCATGGGCTCCAGGCGGAAGTACTCCCTCGGCTGCAGCAGACTCTGGTCGTTGCCCTGGAGGGGAGAAAGTTCAATCGAAAAATTAGAAATTAAAATATACGAGCCTTCGCCCCCCCCATCGACACAAATTAGATTATTTACGAAGCGGGCTTCCGACTTTACCAGTCAGGGCCAACCTGAGCTGAGAGGGATACAACATCCCAGGAGGAAGACCAAGGTACTCGATATAATTTTCTCCCCACCCAGGATTTGAACTCAGGTCTTCTGCTTGTGACAGAGAAGTACCACACTGCTACACCATATAGCTAGTAGTCAGAAGATTGCCAACTGCTACAGGTGCTGGTTAGTCTAGAGTAAGGGAGTGTGTCTCTCAGGCCAATGTGCTCGGTTCAAGCATGTATGATCACAGAACTGTTCTCTCTCTCATATTTTCTAAACCCTTAATCCCAATATAAATGGGACCTGCCATCTCTTCTCTCTCCCTCATCCTTTCTCTCCCTGTCGCTGTACCTCTCTTCTGCCTCTCACTGTCCCTCTCTCTACCGCTCTCTGTCTTTCTTCCTCCTCCCCCCGTCCTCTTGGATAAAATCTTACAACTAAGATGGTGCAAGTTGATAAAAACTTTCATAACAGAAGGTTGAAAAAGTGCAGGCCATCAAAGGCAAGTTGCCCAGGCTAAAATTCCAACTTAATTCCTATACAAAACTGACAAAATTTTGGAGAGAGCAAACAATTTGCATTACCCTTGAAGCAGACATAAGGCTGTCCAAAAAGCAATATACCATACTCTGATGCTAGGTTTGAGTTCAATATCCAACCAGAAATTTATTTCCTCAACCAAGATGCCCTACTAAACACATAATAAGAGGTTTCATCATTGTTTAAGAAAGGATCCTGGAACAATTTGAGTTGACAGGTCTCATAAGTGTCTAATGGCGTTCTCCAACTGGAAAAGGAATGGAAGATTTTTTTTAAAATTCCTTGTGACAGAAAAGATCACACAAAAGACAGAGCAATTTCATTAATATCAGCAACCAAAAGAAATTTTAAAAGCCAAGACAATAAATTTACAAATTCTAGAAGTAGTATCAAAAACATGGCAATCCATAACTGCAAGGGTGAAGCTCTACACAAAACTTTACAATAAAATGAACACCTAAATTCCTCGTTATGCATACCTTCTGTCTCCCCCACCAGGGCAGTGCCACTGACCGAAGTTGTCTTTTGGCCATTCCCAAAGGGGGGAAATTAACATATTCTTATGCACAGAATTGTAAATGGACTAATTTATCAATGTCATGCTCGTACTGTGCCGAAACAACACACAAGGATCTGCTGCTTTTTCTTTCCTCATCTATACTATCGTCCTTTTTCCTCTACTTCTTGAGTATGTTTGTCACTCTCTTGTGAACTGCTATTTCCGGGATGCCTTGATAGTCGAAGCAGACTTTGTGCTGTTGAGGCTAGAGAGGTGAACAGAGTAAGCCTGATTCCGCGTTTGGACTTTTCTGTTGACATCCACACCTCATATGACTTATGCAGTTGGGAACACCGTAAAACCGTACTGAAACTAAAACTAAATTACCTTCAGCACATAGTTATGCTTTCTTAATTAACACATGTCTGACACGTAAAATTTATTACATCATCATTTCCGCAGCTGACAAAGGAACACGGCACCAAGAAATAAACCAAGCAACACGAGGGAAGAGTAAAGCAACAAATGGAGAAAGAAAAAAACAAACATAGAAAAACATTTGTGAGACTTACACTCAGCATGTAGACAATGTCTTTGTTGTTGGGGTCGTTTGGATCAAGTTTGGACTCTTTGAACCACTGAAGCAGCTTTTCCAGGTTGGCAACCCCGCTGGCTCCGATGGCAGCGAAAGGATCCAACCGTTTCATGTGCCTGTTCATAGGGTGCAGATAATGGGAAAACATGGGGTCACCACATTTCATATGAATTTGTTTCAGTTAATGAGAAGCATACAGCCATAAAGGATATTCACTTGCGGGGAAAAAGTAAGAAGTCAAAACAAAATGAGAGGCAAATGGTAAAAAAGAAAAATCGACCAGAGGCAGCCTCCAACCGTCCACTTGATAATGAATGTTCTACAAAGATAATAACAGCGGATTGCATTTTTGTAGCCATCCCAGTATAAGCTCTGAGCATTTTATCCCAATGACATGATCACTGAGAGTAAAACCTCAAACACACAAGGAAAAATCATTTCATATAAACAAGAAAACCAGTTCAACCACATAAGGAAGAACTTTCTCAGCCATATGTTAGTTATGTGTACATAACAGCAGATTGCATTTATGTAGTGCCCCATCCCATACCAGTACAAGCACTGAGCATTCCACATCAATGACATGATCACAGGGACTAAAACCTCAAACACACAAGAAAAATAATTTCATATAAACAAAACAACCAACTAAACCATATTATGAAGCATTTTCTTAGTCATACATTAATTATGTGTACAAAGTGACAGCAGTGAACCCCCCCCCCCCCAAACAAACAACCAAAAAACATTAGCACCTGGTAACACACTCCAACAAAAACAAATTACTTTATGTTGGCCTACTGTTGACCCGAGGCTCAACCAGTGTATGACTTACATGGCCGCCTGAAAGCCAACCCCGAACTTCTCTGTGGGTACCAGAGGTAAACCGTCATCTCCCACGGCCCAGGCAACGCTTGAGTTGAGCACACCAGAGGTCATCAGGGTCACGAGGTCAGGGACATGACCTTCAAATTTGAATGCAACACCTGGAAGAAAGCAATGTAGAGTGAAATAACCACAATAAAATGCATAAATATTTGTCTATTCATTTCATCATGGATACATTTACTACAAGATTTCTCAGTAACTCCTTGCTTAAACTGAACCAGATTTTTATCTATATTTATTTTGTCATATGGCGTTAATAAGATGGTTTTTACATAGACAGTTCCACTGTCTCTTGAACAAAAGCATTACAGCTACAGTTGAGTTATCTTCGTAAACAATTTTTTATTTTAAGCCATAAGAAGCAGTTTTTAACAGTGAATTTTATTCTGAGCTATAGAGTCATGCAATCTAGTGGGGGGATCATTTAAGACAAGGAGGCTGTTCAAAAGCACTCATAGCTTGTAGGGCATGAAAGCTCACTTTTTAATCCTTTTCCCCATTTTCTTGAACAGAAAAGCTCAGCAAGCTGCATACAAATTTGTCTGTTGAACATGACTTAAGTTTAAGGTTTTGAATCCAAACATTTATGAACATGAGTAAGAGACATAGTGGTCATGGTACACATTCTACAGGTTAAAATGTAGGCCTATAAAACATCACGATTTGGTCATAAATAGCCCCAAGTATCTCAAAAGATGCTTTTTCTCCTGAACAGAATGTAATAATTTTCCACTGAAATTCTCTCAGTTTCTGTATGATGATGTAAGAGAAAAAAAGACTTTCTGTGAATATCATCATATCAGAGTGAAACCCCCATACTATCTATCTTACAATTAGCAGACAGATGCAACAAAACAATAATTTTAATTCCCATAAACTTTGAACTGAATATGACTTGACCCTGCAAAGACGTGAAAACATTATAGAATGCCTGAGGCATGACATATGAAGAAAAATACATACAGAGTTACTTTACTCAACCTCGAAGCTGAGAATACAGCTTGCTTATGGGCGGGAATGCTATTCATTATTTATTTTATTACTATTATTAATCACTTCTTACCGCTGCCCACCCCTTCATGACTGAATTGAATCTTCTCATAGGAACTGAACTCCACATTTTCAAGCGCGACGCTCTGTGATGTCACCGAAGACTCTGGGATAGGTGCAAATAGCTCAGCCAACTGCCTGCCACTTCCAAAGCCTGCTGTCTCATAGATCTGCCACAGACAATGGAAAAGATAATGCCATGAACATTTCAGGCAATAACCAATTCCTGAACATTTGTAAAATACATTACAAATACCACAGCGGTCTTTTTTATTTTCTTATGCTGAGAAGGAAAATGAATGGTGAAACAAGTAAAATCAATAAACTGTAAGGCCCGCATCCAGCCCAACAAACAATTAAATCCAGCCTGTGAGACAATTTTAGGGAATCCATCCAGAGATTCAATTTAACACAGAACTTTACTCCAGTCACAAACAAACTTGTTGCCAAGAAAAGATTTCAAACATCTATCCAGCTCTGACAAAATGGCATCACAGCAAAAATTAGTATGCCTTGATTTGTTATCATTTTAACTT